CCCCGGAGTCAAGGTTTTCTCCCTGGCTCCGGTCCAGCCACGTACTTGTCTGAACAGATGTCCGTCCCAAACAGCACAGAGGAACACGATGGAGTGTTTCCAGCCGTAATGTATGAGCGATTCCACGGAATCATTACCAACCCACTGGGACTGTGGCCAGATTTCCTCACTGATGGGAAGGGAATTATCAGGAAAACACGTCATCTTTCTGAGGATTGTCATCAGTGCTGGTTTTGCAGCAGCTGGAGAACATCCACCAGTTCACTTCACCCAGCATTTGACTCTTTGTTGTTGTGTCCATGTCCCGGGATAATACGGTGGCCAGTTTTAGGGCCGCGGCCCTGCAGTTTGACCACGCTTCAGTATCCCACGATACTGAAGCGTCCCATTAATGGGACGACCCTGCAGTTTGACCACGCTTCAGTATCGTGGGTCTGAAGTCCCATTAATGATGTTCTTATTCCAGTGTGAAGTCAGTTTATCACAGTCAGGTTCTGGTTCATGGTCGGGGTGTGTGTGTGTGTGTGTGTGTGTGTGTGTGTGATGTTGATATAGCTGTGTTTGTGAGGACATTTCTCTTCGTTTGAGGACGCTTTTCTTGACAGGGACATTTGAGACAGAAGACAGAACGGTTGTAACTGTGAGGGTTCAGGATCAGGGAATGCATTTAAGAAATGCATTTGAGTGTGTGTGTGTGTGTGTGTGTGTGTGTGTGTGTGTTGTTTGGACGCCGGGGGAGTATGGCCAAATTCCTGACCCACTATGGTGAAAAGGAAATGATGTCACACTTTCTCAGACAACCATGAATAATTGGTTTCAGGTTGCACTTTAATGTCCTGTATTGTAGACCTGTGAGAAAACACACACACACACACACACACACACACACACACACACACACAGCGACTGTTTGTCCGTCTCCACTTCATGTTTGGAGTGGGGGGGGGTCATCTCTGCTGGTTCTTACTGCTGCTGACTAAGGCGACTGGACTCAAGTTTCTGTGTGAAAGTCTGTGTCCAGAAATGAAGTGAGGATTCAGTGAGGAATGATTGGTTAGAAAGATGCTGTTGATCTGAGGACCAGTAATAGATAGACTTGTAGTATATATTATATACAGTATATTATTATATACATTACTTTTTTTTGTACCTCTACAGTAAACGATCATTTTCATGACAGGTACAGTTTGATCTTGTTTCATGAATAAACGACAGAATATTCAGAATTTCTCTATTTAAAAAAAAGGCTGGAAAAAAAAAGCCATGTCAGAAATAAATATAAAAAGTCAGGACTTTTCTTTTCTTTTTTTTTTCTTCCTCCTCCCAGGAGACTTTTCAGTCATAGTCTGACCCTGTGTTCCTGCCTCCCTCAGTCTTTACTGTCCTCCCAGTAATCACTGCAGCAGTAAATCCTGGGGCATGTCCTCACTCCACACGTGTGTGTGTGTGTGTGTGTGAGGCTGCTGCTGATGTTCAACAGGTGGAGCGCAGTCACCTTTATGTACCGCTACATCATTTATCACCTAAAAAAAATAGTTTTCAGGTAGAAATGTGCAGCAGAATTCTCCCTGCAGCCTCAGGACACAAATCTACTTCAGCTAAAAGTCAGGAGTACTACTACAGGTCAGGAGTACTACTGACCTGCCGTCTGTACGTGAGCTCAGCGTTTTTCTGCTTCCTGGCTCCGAACAAAGAGGTGTAAAGAAACCGGGGCGTTCGTCTGCACGAACACAAAGGTTTGTTACAGAGAACGGTTTGTTTGGAGCTGCACGATAAGGAGCCCCTGATGTTGGCGTTCACGGCAGGAAGGAGATTCTGTACGTACGACCAAAGTGGAAACATATGTACGGAACACCCGCTGCCTGCAGCCGCATGAATGAGCCGACGGCCGAGTCCCAGCCACGATCTGAAGACGGTCGACTGCTAAATTTAAAACTTTTAATCAGTGGCTTCAGACGCCTTTACAACATACAGTTAAAACCAGGAGGTGACCTTTTGACCTGGGGAATCAGACACAGGCTCTGTACTCGTGAGACCGCCGTTCCCTGACCTCAGTGTGTGTGTGTGGGTGAGAACGGGTGGAGTCGCCGTGACGACCACCACTTGACTCCGGCCTCGTGCTGCCGCCCTGAGACTCTTTTCTTTAACCAAACCTGAGACTTTCAAAGACTCACCTGGTTTTCCCAACTCCAGGAACTCTGTGCTGAGTTCAGGTTCACTCTGTAAATGTGTCAAACTAACAACAACAACAACAACAACAACAACAACAACAACAACAGGGCTCAGTTCTGACTCCTGTCTGGAAGGGTTGTTTTAATAAGTTTTTGAGATTTTTTCTTAGTATTGGTCTTTTCCTTGGTGTTTTCTGTGTTACTGTACTGTACTGCATACTGTACTGCATACTGTACTGCATACTGCATACTGTACTGTACTGTACTGTACTGTACTGTACATAAACTCTAAAGTAAACCTCCACTCAGGGATCGCTGGTGTGAAGCGTGGCACTCTGGGTAAATCCTCCTCATGAAATCTAATCTCACAGCAGTGCACGGGTCGTTACCTTTGACCTGGATCATTTGACCTGGACCCCCCATCATTTGACCTGGACCCCCCCCCCAACACTCCCCCACCCCCCGCCTGAAGC